AACAAAAAAAAAACTTACCAGGCCCTTGGGCCAACGCACACAGATAACTGTCGCAGTCAAGAGGGGGCGTTGGCAGGAATATTTAAATATGGTATCCGACTTGGGTCACTCCTGTGTTAGTTTAATAGCCACGAGGCAGGGCTTTGTGGCCTGGAGAAGACAGGGACCTCACTGTGACAAGGATTCGACTCGGTTTAGTGAAGGATTTCCAACGTTTAATAAAAAAAAAAAAGAAAAGGATAGCACTCTAAAGAAATGCTTAGGAGACTCAGAAAAAGCGACTTGGGTTTTGCCCAACTCCGAGGTGGTGGTGAAATGTTGGTAGAAAACACTAAGTAGTCCACGGGAGGAAAAGTCTTGGCTGGGAGGTAAGATAAGATTTGGTATAAGAGGTAGGACTTTGTTCCAGATCAGCAAGGAGTAAATTCGTGAGAAAGGGGAGAAGGAGAATTAGAGAGCGGAACTATGTCCACTGTGTTGAATGGAAAAGAATGTTTCTGCTGTTAAGGTGCAGGATAACCGTTCGTTTCCCGTGAAATAAGACACAGGTCTATATTAATTTTTCCTCAAGAAGACACCTAGGGCTTATTTTCAGGCATGTGTTATTTTTTTTTTAAGTGACGGTCAACAACATCACATTGATTCAAATAAGTGAAGTCGTCTTCTTCTGGAAATCATCCTCACCTCTCAAACCGCCGAAATCCCATCCTGATGTCTTGTGACTATGTTTCCTTTAGGGGAAACATTGGCCCCATTCTCCTTCGGAGCACATAGAAGCTGTCACAGGGCAGATGAGAAGGACGCTTGCTGTTGTTCTTTCCCGCTCCCGCGACGACAATGCAATGGGTTTGTGCAGAGCGCTGCGTAGTCCAACGGCACGCAACACGTAGGGGCTTATTCAAGCCACGCCATCATAGGGCTATTCCAATACCACGCACTCACGTAGGCTTATTTTCATGGCCCCACGCCGCGTCAGCCAACTAGGGCTTATTTTCCGGGCGTTAGGGCTTCTACGCGCACATGCTTAGATAATCCTGACTAGGGCTGATTTTAGGGAGGGCTATTTTGGGGAACACGGTAAGTGAGAAGGGAAGGGAAGGGAAGGGGGAAGGGGAAAAAAATACATTAACTCCAGGATCCAGTAGTGTAAACAGAAACAATTAAAGAAAACGTTTACAAATATTAAAACTGAGCATGATATGGCAATTCCATATCGATAAAAATTAAAGTATGAAAAAAAAAAAAACAAAAAAAGATCTTCAGTGCTGAATGCCGAAGTGGAAACTGACAAATTGCATTATGAATCTACCGGCCCTTCTTGGTTCCAACTTTTCGTACAGTTGTAACTAGAGCAGCTTGGTTCTGGTGTCTGACTCTGGGGGATTCTTCAAGTGTTTCGTGGCAAATGTGTGGCTCGTGTTCTATGAGACATTGAGGAAGCCATATATATGCACATGGTCGGTGATGAAAGCTAGACTTTCTCCATTTACTTTGTTTTTCTTTGAACTGTGAGCATTGGTATTGCATTGTTTGGATAACAGGCTTCTCCCCACGCCCTTTGGTGACAGGCTGCAAAAGGCCACATCATACTAGCGCCATATTGAAAAACTAGGAGCCAAATGCTAATCTGTAGTAGCTATGCTACGTTTGCTAAGACAAATTTGACTTTGTTGTTTTTGTTTGTTTGTTTTGTTTTGTTTTTGCTTGAGCTAGGGCGATTATCTCTATTTTATTTATTTGTAGAGCATCTACCTAAAAGGTTCATTAGGAAGTCTAAAATATATTTTGCATAAAATGCTCAGCATAGAGCTAAGCAAACTGGGGGTGATTTTGTACGCCATGGGACATTTGGAGACAGTTGTGGTTGTCCCAACTTCGGGCCTGCAAGGCCAATGCAACTGGCATCGAGCGGGCACAAACCAAGGATCCTGCTACACTTCCTACAATGCCCAGGACACCCCCCACGACAAAGCATTTTTCGGCTTAGAAACCCTAGTGTAGGCCGGGCACGGTGGCTCACGCCTGTCATCCTGGCACTCTGGGAGGCCGAGGCAGGAGGATCGCTCGAGGTCAGGAGTTCGAAACCAGCCTGAGCAAGCGCGAGACCCCAGTTCTCTACTATAAATAGAAAGAAATTAATTGGCCAACTAACATATATATATAGAAAAAATTAGCCGAGCATGGTGGCGCATGCCTGTAGTCCCAGCTACTTGGGAGGCCGAGGCAGGAGGATCGCTTGAGCCCAGGAGTTTGAGGTTGCTGTGAGTGAGGCTGACGCCATGGCACTCACTCTAGCTTGGGCAACAAAGCGAGACTCTGTCTCAAAAAATAATAATAATAATTAAAAAGAAAAGAAAAGAAAAGAAACCCTAGTGTAGAGTCTGAAAAATAGTAAGTGCTTAGTAAAAGTCTGCTATGATTACTGTTATTGCTATTATTTATCGTAGTTGGTTTATACAGTTATTCTTCAAGCTAGTCCCTCCTGGAGGGTCATACCGTAATTTCAGCAGTGATACTAGAGATATGCAAAATTCTTTCCAGATTTTCAAGTGCATAGCATGATTTCCCAGACACCAGAAGTTCCATAGAGATCCCTTCTACCGATGTTCACCTTTTATGTTCACCTTTTAAGAATCACCAAGTTCTCCTTTTAAGTCGGTGAGCTCCTTACACTGGCATTGCAACGTGAGAAGTAGAGGAGGAAGAAACGTAGCGCCCATCTCAGCAGTTCAGAGCTAAAAGCATCTGTTTTCAAACTTTTGCAAATAGACTGCCCCAGTGATGACTGGGGCAGGGGGGTATTAATAGAGGTTGCTCAGACATTTTCTTCTGCAAATTAACTAAAGGGTGTACTGAACAGAACAGGAGAAATTAAACTCACACACATACACACACACACACACCCCACCACTGCTACTATCAGAAGCCAAAACAACATACGTTGTATAATCGAACCTGCCTGTGTGTTAATTTGTCTTTGGAAAAATGAGTGGACATTGTAGAAATTGATTTCTTTTTAAAATGTTGGATACTTATCGCTCTTAAGACTTTGGAATCCTTGAACCCCTCTATAACGACAGCATCCAAAAGAAGTTTCATTTCCTTAATAAGCCGAAAAGGGTTATTACGCTCTGAAAGTCTGTACCATGTTTTCATTTTTTTCTTTAGCTTATTCAAGCAGCGTGAGATTTTTGAATATGTATCAGCCCCTATTGCCAAACCCAAATTGGTTCACAATGCTGTTATTCTTCCTTTGTATTTCTGTTTGGATACATTGTTCCAGAAATGTGCTCTTGTAGATTTAGGAGCCCGAATTCAGATGGCCAAAGGGCTTTTAGGTGGTGGCGGTTTGCTGTCGTGGATGATGTTTTGGCTATTTCTGTCACTGGCGTGGTCACCCTACCATGTTTCAGCCCATTCTGTCTCGGTGTCATCGACGGGAAATGTTATTCTCGTAGCCCTAATGAGCGTTAAATGGCCATTCTCTGTAGACCGGGTCATCATTTGTGCTCAGAAACTGTCCCGTCACACCCAGGACATAATGACTTTAAAAGTCTAGTCTCCTGCGGGTCACCAAGTCATTCAATCCAATTAATACAATTAAACCCAAACAATAGTAGCTATGTTGATCCCAAATATTTTCTTCTGCCCAGCTAGCTTTGATGTGAATATATGTGCCTCCTCCCTGGAGGCATAGATTCTTCTGGAAGCTATATGATTTCCCAGGCTACCTGCTGAATAGCATCACCTATTTTCTTAAACTCTGAAATGGAGAGAAAATTAATGTTCAGCAGAATCCATTTGGGGTGTGACTCTAGATAGCAAATTCCCATTAGCCTCAGAGAGAATTGAATGCCGCTGCAGGTTAATTGGATGAGAATTTCTTTCTAGTTTAAAACAGCATGATTGTATTCCTTAAGAAGACTTCCTCTTTAGGGATATGGCTTTAATGTCTGTTAAACTTGTTTTCTCAACACCAGAAAAATGATCGGAGGCTGGGCCATCACAAAAAAATTTGGAAATGATTTTTAATAGCGGGAGTGTAATGATATACCATTCTTCCCAAATGTGGCCTTTAATTTCTGACTGTCAACCCCTTAATAAAGACAATAATTCTTGGCCTGCCCATAAGCGAGATTACGAAACCCAGCAATGAGGAAACCATTAAAAAATTAATTTAGAGGAAAGTTAATTGCAGATTTAATATGGTGTTTTGCAACTTGGTCAACAAAATGTTTCAGCATGATTAACGGTATTTTTCAAGGGCTGAAAACATTAAGCCCGAGGAAATGGTTTTTCCTCGTCAGCTTTTATTCTTCATATATTCATCTGAGCTTGTAAATAGACACAAATACTTTAGTGAATTCCAGGGTCAAAAAAACACTAAAAAAAAAAAAAAATACAAGTTCAAGGACTTTGACTAAAAAAAAAAAAAAAAAAAAAAAAAAAAAAAAAAAACAAACAAACAAAAAAAAAATTCCTCTTATCTCCAGGAATTAGGAGCAAGAACAAGGAAGAGACTAGAGAAAATAATTCTACTTATAAGGGCTTAAAATCTTCAGTACTTTACTCTCCTTGGGTTTTGCTTTCCATCTGCCAAGAAGTTATTCCCGTCTAGGGCTGTGTCTCCTGTTTTCGAGAACCCCAAATCCTCCAGGACGGAAATCATTTATCCTAGCACTGTTGCTAGGTTGTGCTGGAATGTCGCATGCTGATTGACCTCTACCAACCTCTTCAGTCCCCCAAGACTTTTGTTAACTTTGGAGGCTCCGTCCGGACTGAGCACCCTACAGACAGGCAGTTGAGTTTGCAAGTTTAAGACACTGTGCGGGGGGGGGGCATCTCATTGGAATTGAGAAAGCGATGTGACCACGGTGCAAGTCATTGGATTAGGAGTGCATTCCCCTCCTCTGTGATCTCGACACCCCCCCAGTCCCTCCCTCCCCAACCCCCACCCCAGAAAAAAAATAAATGAGCCGAAGCTCCCACTCACGTCCTCTGTCTCCCCAGTGCTCCGTGTCCTGCGGCCAAGGCGTGCAGCGGCGGCAGGTGGGCTGCCAGACCGGGACGCACAAAGTCGCCAGGGAGACCCAGTGCAGCCCCCACGCCAGACCGGAGTCGGAGCGCGCCTGCCAGGGGCCACCCTGTCCCCTCTACGCCTGGAAGGCAGAGGAATGGCAAGAAGTAAGTGCAGCCACGAGGGGGGCACCTGCCGGGCGTTTCTCGCACCCCCCCCTTTTCTTGCTGTCGTCACATCTGTCCCCCTGGGAAGCCGGAGAAGCCACCAAGCACGGTGACAATGCTGGCTGTCTCCCAAAAGCCGAGGGTGGCAGAGCTCCTTGTTTTTAAGCAGTTGCTACGTCTGTCTGCGTTCCTGAATGTTCTGAGTCTGGCTGTCTCCTGTCTCAAAAAAAAAAAAAAAAAACTTTAACAGGCCTTGGGCCAAACGCACACAGATAACTGTCGCAGAAGGAGGGGGGCGTTGGCAGGAATATTTTAAATATGTGTGTCCAGACTTGGTCACTCTGTGGTAGTTTAAATAGCCACGAGGCAGGCTTTGTGGCTGGGAGAAGAAGGGGCACTCATGTGACACCAGGATTCGACTCGTTAGTGAAGGATTTCCAACGTTTAAAAAAAAAAGAAAAGAAAAAGATAGACTCTAAAGAAACTGCTTAGGAGACTCAGAAAAAAAGCAGACTTGGTTTTTGCCCCACTCCGAGTTAATGTTTGGTAAAAGAAAACACTAAGTATGTCCACGGAGGAAAAAGTCTGGCTGGGAAGGTAAGAT